AGAAACAAATAGCTAACTGTATGTGGGTGCATGTGCCTACAACCATGTATTTTTTTATACAAGTGAGTGTGTGTGTGTGTGTGTGTGTGTGTGTGTGTGTGTGTGTGTAATGCGCAGAGAAGAGATAAAAGGGAACTGTAAAAGAAAGAAACCTTCAGGAAATGATGTGTCTGTATAGACTATCAGACCCATCCCAGTTATCCAAAGCAACTGCAGGAGACTGACCTTTTGTGAAAGGCCAAGTGACCTTTGCTAGCTGCGATATTCCTGGCTAATCAGTGAGTGATTGGAATGGGCTGGCAGATTTAAATACTCCCTGCATGTTAGAATCATTAGAGAACATCTAAATGAATTGTGCTCAGGCTCTTGGATAGCCCAAATGAACACACCCCAGAATCAGATTTAAAATCAGTTTTAAAACAATCAATCAAGCCAGGTGGTGGTGGCACATGCCTTTGATCACAGCACTCAAGAGGCAGAGGCAGGCAGATCTCTGTGAGTTTGAGGCCAGCCTGGTCTACAGAGTGAGTTGCAGCCAGGACTGCTTCACAGAGAAATGCTGTCTGAGAAAAATCAATCAATCAAACAAACACATCAGACATCTCAGGTGATTATGATGTGTACCTGGGTTAGAACCAGGGACAAAATGGTCCTAGGCATCCTCTATCAATTTGAAATTGTGTGACTGTTGATCTGAGACTCAGCTAAGGCTCCAGGCAAACATTCAGGGGTATGGTGAGGGGCCCCAGGTGCAGTATACTTTTTACATTGTACCTATTGTTCTTGCTGACTCTCCAGAAAAGATGGCCAGTGTCCTCCTAATACACAAGAAGACATGGGAAAATAATGTGATTTTGTATGCTCTATTCACAGGAGGGTGCAGAGAGATGTTAACACACGTCTCCTGACATGATATAAATATGCAGCATTACAGAAGGTGTTCATTACAAAATACCTATGACTTGATCAAAGCCATCACTGTCCTTTTTAAATTTTGTTATCTTAAGCCTACACAGAGTAAGTCTTAATGACCTGGCTGCCTATCACTTTAGGAACAAATCCAGTTGCTGGGGGTCACTGCCCATTCCAACCTTAGCTTGATATCAGTGTTCTGGTCCTTCTGTCACATTAGCATGCACTGGAGAAATTGCTGTGCCTTTTGGGGAAATT